AAATGCTATCTAGTTTTTTAGGTGTCTTACCTATCCTCATATCTCCCTTGTGCTCTTGCTTTTATCTTATGATCAAAGTCCAATCCCCTTGTTGTGTTTGCCCTTGATATAAAAGACATATCCTTTTGTGTGGGCACCTTTGCTCCTATTGTTGGGGCTACCTTTGATATTATTTTGGAAGACTCTAATATATTCAAATTAAATCTCTTCCACTCTCAGGCACAAGGTCATTATTATTTCCATGATACTTAAGAAGAAGTTGCTAGGAAATATTGATACATGGGAAGCTGTGTTTCACTTATTAGTTCAGAGGAAATTTATTATTGCTTATCATCAGTGAATTTATGAGTCAAAATTGAAAGAATCAGAGAGATTTTCTGAAGATTGTTTTATTGATTTCCAAATACATTTTTGTAAAACCAAGACCCAAAACCAAAGCTTTTCAAGCAGTCAGTTGGCTATTACAAAGATGACATCTAGTTTCAATTATCAGTTTCTCAAGTGTACAAAATACTATTCCAAAGCCTATCCAATTTTATGGTATGGGAGGGAAATTATTAAGTTGAGGAAATATTCTTGCTAAAAATACAGATTTGAAGGCATCAATACAAAATGCCCTGTAGTTTGCAAATGACAGTTTATCATATCATATTGATTTTATTGGGAAAGGGATAGCTATTAATAGTTGAATGTAATATAAATATACACATTAAATAAAAACGGCTTGAAAGCAGTCACATAATGAAATAGTTATTCAGTGATCACTCTGTAATGTGAAAGTATAAAAAAGTATCCTAAATTTTGTGGTTTTGTTTGTTTCTTATGTTTCTGGATCCAGATTTATATTTTTGAAAATAATATCTACTATCAACCTGATATAAAGAGCAGTTCATTGCGGCTAACGTCTTCTGGGAAAGAAGGAATTATTTTTAATGGGATTGCTGACTGGTTGTATGAAGGTGAGTTAAACAGATTTAGTTTCTGAAGAATACAAATGACATTTTAATACAAGAAAATCTGCTCATTTCAGAAAAACTGATAACCATATATTCTTCTCATTCCCTCTCAAAATTGTCTTCATGCTTTCTTACCATTACATGTGCTAATATTTTTCATAGTTGTGTTTTACATCTTCCACATTTGTTGTGTGTGTGTATGCACGTGTGTGTGTGTATGTGTGAGTGTACCTAGATTGATTTTATTGATGATGAAAGTTAACTAATTGAAAGTGAATGGTTTTCTCATCTCACTCGATAATTAGATGCTGAATTTTGCAAACTTGCTGAAAAAAAAACCCTTTTGTGTCAAAAGTTGCAACAAAGCCATTTGATTTTAGTTATTCTTATGAGGGACACTGCCAAATTTTAAAGCTATTGCATAGGTAGAAAAATAAAGCCTGCTTGAAGGGTTATTTTCAATTACTATTAATTGAAGCTTTAGCGATAGCTGAGAATATAAAAATAAAGCAGGTGATGGAGACGTCCATCTAACCTTGATCATGCACTAATTATCAGGTGAGTTGTGTCTAAAGATTATCTGTTGAAGACTGAAAGCCTGGGCTTCATGATTAGATTTCAGGCTCTTCAGCTGTGTTGTCAAAAGATGTCAATTTTTAAAATAAGTTAGCCTATTTGATTGCAAATTATGAAGATAAGAATACAGAAATTCAATTTTGTTTTTCAAACAATATTTACAAAGCAATCTCTTTACCTTATATTCATTATTTTAGTTCTTCAATAAAAGTGAATCATTCCAAGCATTCATCCACTCAGCCTCTCATTCAATAGATATAACTAATGCCAACTGTATTTTAGATTGCTCTCTAGGTCCTAAGGTACTACCTGGAGTACAGAAAAATGTATGGCCTTGAGGACCTCATATTCAACTGGAAGATTTTGCTAAGTACAGCAAAATAAAATTAAATAAGTTGTAATCCTTCAAATTTATATGTATACGTGTACATGTAGTTGTAGTCCTTGAGATTTATATGTACATGTGGATATGATGATAGATTTCTACTTACATGCCAGCATCAACAAATAAAAGATTTTTAGAGGCCATATTTTATCTTGAGTAGTAGTGAGAGATAACTGTGAATATCACCCATAATTATTCCATGAAAATGTAAAAACAAAAAATCAAAAAAATGTTCAAATATATAAGAAGGGTTCTTTTGTTGAGAAACAGAAGCTGACACTGGCTTTTCTATTTTATAAAAGATAAGTTATTATTGGAAAGGCCTGGGATGGTCATGAAATTGAAGAAACAGGTGAGAACAAACTTGGGTAGTTCTTGGAATCTGGACAGCAGGGTTTAAGTTGTGCCCTTTTGAAGAGGAACACAAAGACTAAGATAAGCACATTAACTTCAAAATGTTCTTGGTATCTTTTGAGATCCTTGCAGATGAAGAAACTATGTCAAAATAGTGTGGTAAGGAATTGAATCACAGTCAATATAGGATTCTGTGGAAGAAAAAAGGAATGAGAATTAGGTAATTCTAGGGATTTGCAAGCATTTTCCTAAAGGAGAAATCCTGCAAGTTGAATCAAAAAAATTGAGAAGTACTATACATGAGAAGAAATTAGGAAGAAAAATCCAAATATAAGTAACAGTTTACCAAAACACAGAGGGTTAAATAGCAGAGTGTGTGTCTGGGGAAACTAGACATTTGATAGTCTTGAGGTATAAAATCTGAGATAGAGAAAGGCAGGAAGAACCACTAACCTCTAACGACCAGGGATTTCAATTATTTTGCTACTAGTAAATGGGGAAACTGGCAGAGCTTTTCAATTATGAGAGTGACAAGATTAGCTCTTCCACAGTAATACATCGTTTTGGTTATGGTGTGGAGTTGTGATCTAATAGAGGAAAAGACCAGTGAGCAGCTGTAAGGCTTTTTCTCTCTCAGGAGATAATCAGCAATGGAACTGCTAAAGCAGTTAATAGGAGGGAAGATTCTAAAATTGATGAGGCGGTAAAATAGATAGATCTTAGTGTCTAAGCAGATGGGCTACATGAGAAAATGTTAAGAATGAATCCGTGGCTTCTGGTTTGGGTCACTGGTAAATAGTGGTGGCAGTCACAGTGAGCAAGCACTAACAAGTAGCAGTGGAATTTACGGAGAAGAGGAGCTCATGCAAATGTGGGCGTTTCCCAGTGTGCTGGCATGCTATGTTGGGCATCACGTTGTGATTCTCAGCATTAATGAATTTTAAAGTCCACCAGAAGGATACTCCATGTAGTCTGTTTTGCTGATTTCAACCTTGATCAAGATGACTTACACATGTGTCTGTTGGGAAAGCTTCATATAGGTAGGTCATGGGAATTCCAACTTTAAGGAAATTTTAAGGAGTAAAATTAGGGACTATTATAAGGTCACTTTCTTAATAAGGTAATAAAAGTCTACGGATGATTGAGCAGTATGAAGGAAGGGACAGGACAAACAAGTACCAAAAACCTGTGTGAAGACGCTGTGGATCTGACAAATTGCAATGATAAAATAGAAAAACTAAGCTTTTGCCTTTCAGATTAAAATTGGCACTTTGGGATTCAGTTTCCAGGTTTACTTTGAAATTCCACATGTGTATATGATTTAGTCCTCACAACATTACCTTTTGAGAAACTAAGGCTCTGGGAGTACAAATGATTGGGACATGATTTCAGAGCTAATTGGTGACAAGGATAACATTTAATATGTATCAAATTCTATTCCCAAAGCCAGTGCTTCTCAGTCAAGCAGACCGTGAGAATAGGGCTGCTCACAACCAGTCACTAATGTGCAGTCTTTAAAATTCTTTCAAAGTACCATTTTTACATCTCTTTGTTTCCATGTTTAGAATTATTTAGCCTCTAAGGAAAATGAATGCATCCAAAATACAATATGCTTTAAATGGTTTGTAAAATTCAAAGAAATAACAAAATTATCAAAATGAAAATAACTTAAAATACTGCATTCATACAAACTGCACCCTAATTATTCATATAAACTTCTTTATCTAACATGGAAATATAACTAAATAAAACATTTATCAAAGTTTAAATTTAAAACACATTATAATTTGATTAAAAAAGGAAGTAAATTATACATTTGAATCCACAGGTCCGAAGTACATTTATATATATTTTAGCATTTTCTAGGAGCAGTACAATAGGGCATGATGGTGTCTATGTTTTGAATATTTTCCATTTAGTGCAGTGATAAAACGTTAACAACTATTATTAAGGAACCCCTCAGAACATGGTGAGGAGAAGTCTAAAGAGAACTCAGGTCAGCTCATTACATAGAATTATAAGTAAAGCTAAGCCTAAAGTGATGGAGTAATCAAAGTTGTATCACAGAAGAAATGGTCCTTGCATTGGTCTATAAGAATGGCAACAATCAAGAAGTGAGAGAAATGTATAAGATAAAAAATGCTCTTACTGACAGATTGTGATTGTTACACCCTTTCATTTAATACAAAAAAAATGCCTAGCTTTTTTTTAACCTTATTTTTTACCTAGTCTTGGACAAATTAAGTCACACTTATTCCTCATTGGTCCAACAAACACTTATTGAACACTTACTGGGTGCCAGTGAAATTGAACTGTAAAAGAAAAAAACAAGCAAAAAAGTCAAGATGCAGCCATGAAAATCAGAGAAAGACAGGGTTATCAACAGTTGATCCAACAAGCACATAGGATTCCAAATGTATCATTGGATTTGCTAATTGATCATTGATTACCTAACAAGAGCAAACTCAACCAAGTGGAAGCATCTGAACAAGATTGCCATGGATGGGAGTGTAAGAAAAAAGAGAAGATTATGAATGCAGATAATACTTACAAGAAAGTTAACAGCAAAATGAAGAAGGGTTGAAAGTAGAATCCTCAGAAAATTGTGTCTAAATTGATGAAAAATGAATAAAAATCAGTTTGCTTTTCAGAATAATATGGTAATCTGAACACAATAGTTGTGTCTTAGTTTTTTAGAGATGCTTTGTGTTGGAGCTATGTTTTTAAGTGTCTGTGTTGAAAACTCCTTCTGGTCTGCAATGAGAGTTTAAAAATCAGAGTAATAAAGGCAATGAAGAGCCAAAACTACACTAATTGGAATGGGATGAAATTTGTAAAAAGAAGTTGTTTTTAAATAATATAATACAGTTAACATAGGAAATTTCAGTTCCTAGAAAATGTCCCTGTCAGTGGCAAATAAACAAGGCTCTGCCTTATCCAAGATGACTGTTAAGGAAATACACATTAAAGATACTTTTATTTATTTCCTCATTTATATTAGCTTTATTTTGTTTTTCAAAGAATTTGTAAAACTTTTTTCATATATTATTTTAGTATGATATATTTTTGTGAAGAAAAATATTAGGCATATATCACTGTATAATAAATGAGAGTTGATACCTACTTTTTCTTGAGGCGTGCCCTCAAATTTGGGCCATGTTTACTGATGGAAAGCACATATAATATAGAACCTCTGATAGGACTGACATGACTTTAGCTAACAGGTTATCTTTATACATTAAAAAAATAACAGATTATTCTTTATATATCTCACAGGGCTTAGAATTTATTTTTAATTGGCCTTTATCATATGTATCTTTCTCTCAGTGTGTCATGTGTATACCTGTTCCATCCAATGATAAGTTATTTGTATAAATCATGCTCAGGATCACAATCAGAATAAAATAGCACATTCAAAAAGTTATCTGTCAAGAAAGTTGTATTATTCAGCTTCCTTAATGCAACAAATAACTGACACAATTTATTTATAAAGAGAAAAGTTTTATTTAGCTCACAATTCTGGTTGTTCCATTCCATGGTCAAGCACAGCCCCATTACTTTGGGCCTCATTTGAGGGTGGCACATCATGGAAAAAGGACACGGCAGAGCATAGTGATTACAACACAAATTAAGAAGCTGAGAGAGATTCAGAGACTGGGACCCCACAATTCCCTTTGAGGGCACCCCCCCCCATAACCTAAAGACTTCCCATCAGGCCATACCTCTCAAAGGTTCCACCACTTCCCATTATCACCACTCTGGGACCAAGACTTTTACATATAGACTCTAGAGGGTGCTCATCCAAACCACAGCAGAGGTGTCATCTATGAAGGGGCCATTTATCAAGGACAAGTGATAAGTAGCCATTTCTGGTTATGTCTATTAATGGTTTAGTCACTGACACCTGAATTGCAGAGGAGAAGCAATAGTCTCCAGAAAGTAGAAATAGGAAATCCCACAGATTTATCACAGTAAAAAGAAATTATGAGTTTGAGTGAGAACACAGCTAGACACATGATTTCAAAAGATAGGTGCCAAAAAAATTCTGTGCACTACCTCCCACCCTTAATTTGATTTTCCTGATTTTCATATTGGCCATTCTGAATAAAAAGTCTAAGACCACGGGAATAATCTTGTTATTCAAATTAAATTCATGTCCTTGAAAGAGGAGAATACAAAGTTCCATCTACTAATGTTTAACTACAGCATGCTATCAGTTCAGTTATATATTCAAAATTTATATAATTTGTGTTTTTCATATAATGTTGTAGAGAAACTGATCCCATAAAGAACAGAAATCACCTTCTCCTGCAGCCTCAAACAATAGTAGTGATTGCTTTCTTCAACTGTTCACATTCCTTCTCCCCTTTACTTTCATTCTGCTGACTTGACATGTCAACTGAGAGATCAAACCAAAATCTTATCCATGACAAATCTCATTCCTTTATGTCATTTCTTTAAGTAGGTTGCCTCAATTTCACTTTGTTCTGATTAATCAGTACCATTGGGCAAGAAGTTTTTGTAAATCTCCTGAGTTGCAAATATATTCTTTGTTCACTTCATGTGTATAGTAAAGACATATTTCATTTCTGGAAGATGAGATCTATTATCAGGTACAGTGCTGTGCTTTCTGTCATTTGTTTGTTATTTGCTTTATTTTTTGCGGTCATAATAAGCTCACAGATTGACTACTTTGGGAAGAAATGCAGCTTCCAATTCACAGGAATGAATTTCTGACTATATTCCTGGTGGAAACATTATTTTTTCAGGCAAGGGAACTTCTAAACCTATCAGCCTCATTATATGGAAAACAGGAAGCAAAATGTTTCCAGCGGGTACTTGATGTGATTGTGACAGTTACAATGATAGTGACAGTGACACTACCATTTTCACCCCTTTGTTCCTACATCTGTCCCCGTTAGTTCCTACATCTGTCCTCATTGGCTGTAAAGAAGGGACATATTTCTTGTTGTAGGATGACATTTAGTCTTCAATGTTCTGGTTAAACAAAAGTGTAAAAACTGTGATAGAGTAAACTATTTCAGTCTGTCATCTATGCAAACATAGGAAGCTAATGTGAACATGATGAGACCACTCAATCCTCCCAGAGTAAGCTCAAAACCCTTTTTTCCATCAGTTATTAATGTGTGATGAAATTTTGTTGGGTTATTATAACGAATACATTTTTCATAAAATCCATGTATAGCACTACTCACTAAACTACAACCAGAAAATGTAAACCAACTCCCAGAATTTGTGTCTCTTCCTGCATGGCACAAATGCTCTCCTTTCTTGATGGAAGAGTTCCCATGTAATCTGTCTACCCCAGGCCATCAGCTAGTCTACTGGGAAATGAAACTGTTCTAATGGTTCAGTAATGGTCACTACCATTGACAGGTAAGGGTGGAAACCAGAGGCTGATCGATATGCACTGGAGAGTCATCTTGTCCATTTTGTTATTGACAGCAACTTCTGCTATGGATGTGCTTGGTGAACATTAAGTAGTACACTAATGTCTTCACTTATCTACCACTTATGACAAGTCTATCCACTTATATTTTCTAATTCCTCTCACACTGATTTGCTAGTTTAATTATACCTTTATCTTTGATGATATAGCCATTTATTACTTACTGTGCATGAGTGAAGATTTGCCTTAAGCCAAACCTTTTCCCACAAAAACTGTATCACTAAATATTTTGTTCAAAATACTGTCAACTTGGAGGATTTGTGTTTTTTATTGTCTCTGAGTGCTAATTGTGAGTCACATTATAATACAAAGCTCATGTATATCATTCAGGCCCTACCCACAGTTCAGGCCTTAATTTATACCTCCACTGCTGTCTTGTGTTAGAAAACACATCTTAGTGTGACAAGGGAGAAAAGACAAAGCAGAGACTACAATACTTTAGATAGTCCATATGATTTGGTGCTCAGCCTATATACTACTATGGTCAGTTATGTATGTTTTGTGGCCCAATTCCATATATTCCATTTTTGTTTTATAGTGGAATTCTGCTTTATGTGTTCAGATAATAATGAGTTCGCAACTGGCAACTTGGTAACCCATGGTCAGGGTAAATATTTTGACAAAGTCTAGTAGAAAACATTTAAAAAAAAATAAAAATAAAAATAGATAATATATTATTTTCTATTAGAGTGGTCTTTCTCTGAAGCTTGGAATGCCTGTCTTATGATTATCATGTGAGAATGCCAAAGGCTCCACACAGCATCTTTGTCATGTTTCTGTTTATCTGTGCTCCAATTCCTTCTTAGAAAAAATATTACATTATACATTCACACACACATAAGCAAATTTAATCACAAGATTTAATATGGAGAGTCTACAGCTAGCATTAATTACTGTATCTGTTAGGGTCCCAAAAGGAGTTGGCATGGACACTTACATTGCCATTGTATCTGGTGATCACAGGTAAAGAAGGTTGCACCATGGCCTAGCTGGCAGCTTTTACAGATTACTGGGGAAATACAACAGAGAAATATGTGCAAATGAGGACTGAGTTGTCTTCAAAAGATAGAGTCTATTTCTCTTTTCTATAAATATACACCTAACATTTTTTCTCTCACTTTGGAAAAGATATCCCAATATATCCCAGGTTACTGGGTCTCTAAAAATTTCTACATCATTCAGAATCTAAAATTTTTGCAGGAATTTGTCTCTAATTCTCTGCTTTTATGCAGAGGGGATCTAGTTCCCTTATACAGAGGTTGTCTCTGTCAACATGAAGATTCATGGGAATTTTGAGGTTCAAACTCTTCATCCATAAAATTAGCCACATACAGCAACTCAGTAATAAAATATGATATTTATAAGACTGGTCCAGAAAGCATAAGTATCTTACTTCCTTTTGACCCATTTTCCTTACCCTATGTGAAAAGGCTCTAAATCATCTTCTCCAGTTCTTTATTTTAGATTAAAAGCACAAATGGATTGACTCCCTTATTTGTGTTTCAAATCTTCAACTAATATATTGTCCTCTTGGACTTCAGCCATAATAGAATGATTCTTCCAGTGATGCCATGTGACCTTTTGTTCTGTATGTGCCTTCCTGATTTCACAGTGATGGCTTCAGTTTCTCTTTTTTCCTATGGAATTTCTCTGGATTGTCAGAAGAAGCAAGTCAACTGTTTTTCACAATCATTATAATCACCATTGTTGTAGCAACTAAGTGCCACAAATACTTCTTCTCCCAAACCCTCCCCATCTGTCTGCATTGTCATTCCATGTCATCACCAGCGACACTTGACTGCTTACAACTGCATGTCTTGCTCTGGATTATCTATGCTCTAGTTCCCTCCTAGAAAAAAAAATATTACATTATACATGCACACACATATGAAAAGTTAATCTCAAAATTAATATGCAGAGTCTACAGCTAGTATTAATTACTGTATCTGTCAGGGTCCCAAAAGGAGAGTTGGCATATTCAGTAAGATAATTTAAACAAGATTTATTTATAAAAAGAATATTTGCAAAGGTAAAGGCATAGGGAAGCCGCAGAGGAAAATGCTAACATCCAAATAGTAGCCAAGCTGTCATCACCACTATAAGCATAATGATGAGCCATTGTCAGACACACAGAAGAGTCATGCGGAGGAGGTTCATTGACAGGAGCAGTGGCATCATTTAAAGTTCACAGGCAGCCTGAGGTGACATTGCAGTATGGAGCAGAGAGAATAAGTAACTTGACTTTACTCTCTTCCTTCTAATCTCCTGCCAAAGTGTTGTAATGATCATGCCCTCTGGGAACCAGAGGGCATAGGAGAGAAATGCCCTTTTGATGTAGTTCATACAGATTAACTTTCTGTTCCAGAAAGCAGGTGTAGAAAAGTAGATTGTAGAACTTGGGCTACATAAAAGATATCTAGGATATTTCTTATTCTATATCCTCAGAGCTGAAAAATACTTTAGTGAATTTAGTGCATCCTCAACTTGTTTGATAAGAGAATGAAAAAAATGGCAAGGAAATATGGATGAATGGTATCATGGATATTGTTTGGGGCTGTATCTCACTCTCCAGTCACTGTTCTCATTCTTTTTACTCCAGCAGTGCTTTCATATTCTCTATCTCCATTGCTGACAATCCATGGAATCCTGAGTTTGCTGCTTGATCCTGTCCTCCCTCTACATCTACTTTTCTTAAGATTAAAAGGGTAACTCAGAAATAGAGAATTATCAGGGAAGCTGATGCAATCCAGCACACTGTCTGCAAAATATACATGTGCAATGGTGATTTCGAGGACAGATGTTTGTGGGTCACTGAGCCCACATCTCTACAGTTGTTTTCAAATAACACTTATTTGTTTTAGAGGAACTTCTGCATTCTCATATTGCCCACTGGTGGTCACCAGATGGAGAAAGGCTTGCCTTCCTGATGATAAATGACTCCTTGGTGCCTAACATGGTTATCCCTCGATTTACTGGAGCATTATATCCCAAAGCAAAGCAGTATCCATATCCTAAGGTAAGCAACTTGGAAGTGCTAGTTTGTTCCTTCTCTCTATACCAGTGACTTGATAAATAGTATGCTTGGCTCATGGACACATTGTCTGTGGATAAGAAAGAAACATCCCTTACCTGTAGACAGATTGATCATTTTTCAGCTTGCCATATGTAGTCCAACATACAGTGCTAGATAGGAAGAGATAATTTGATGATTTGAGGATGTGGGAACTTTTACTACCCATCTTTCCTTCTGATGCTTTCTTATTTTTTCCTCAACTTCCCAGCTGAAAGGGGGTAAGAATAGGTAAGAGGACAAAAGTGTTTTCAAAATATATGTTAGTTATAAATTGTTATTACAAAGTAGGGGAAAGTGCTGTGGTTAAGTGTGTTTGGAGTTCTTAGTTTTCTGTTTTTTTAAATCTAGCTTCTTTCAGACGATTTCTTAATATACTATATGTTAATGTGTATTATAAATCTCCTATAACAATCAATTAAGCATAAAGAAACTATAGTAAGGAATAGACTAGGCATAAAAATCTCAATAAGAGTAGACAAAGCATAAAAAATCACCAATAAAGAATAAACTAAGCATAAATAATTTATTAGTGTCAGTATTAATATCAACATTTTGGCAGAGCATACCATGGAATATGGTTTATGAAATACTGGTATTGAATCAAAGCTAGGGGTATATAGGATAGATGAAAGTGTTTTATTGGGTAAGGAGAATGTGAAAATCCTACCCAGACAGCAAAATTATTTTCAAGTGTTGAATGAAGCTTTTAAGAACAGGATGCAAAACACTGGAGTGTACTGGGTTTTCTATTATAGGCTATCCTTAATTCCTTTAAACCATCATTTTCCCCATATGTTTGCATAACAAATAAAAAAGGCCATATTAATCAGGTAAAGATGTCTTACAGAAAATTTCTAAAAGTCCTCTTTACACATTTTGGCTCTTAAATTAGGCAAGAGAAGATGCTGATTTCATTTAGAAGCTGTTTTTAAGCCCTTCCTTGAGAAAGTTTACTTCATTTTGCCCTAGCACATTAGGTTGTCTGCCTTTCAATTTAGCTGGGCTCAGTACTGGGCACTTTCCCATCAGGAATGTCACTCCAGGTCTGTAGTAAAAGCACAGAAAGGTCAGATTGTGTGTGTGTGTGCGTGTGTGTATTGGAGGGGATCATTCATACATTCCTTCTTTCCATATCATCTACCAGACTCCAGTTATCTAGAGAGAAAATAAGAAAAGATTAACATGAAGAATCGGGAATAAAATGAGTGTTTTAGCTTCTGCACTTCCTTACTTCCCTATACCCTTCCTGTCTTTCTTCTGTAGGTTGTAGTATTAAATGCAAGATTGAGAGGAATTGACTTCCATGATTTTGAAACGCTATTTTAGGGTCTTCACTCGACATAGATTAGAAGGCAGACATCCTCAGTAGACTTCAGAAGAAAACAGTAACCTATCAACAAAGTGATCCTATTTCCTGTTAACCAACAGACCTTGTTGCATTCCAAAAAAAGATCTTAGGACTTCTCCAATTATAAATGTAGCTGTGATTTTTTTTTTCCAGGTAGTCATTTAAGCCTACATAGCATATCAACTTTTTAATTCCTAGAGGAAAAACTGGAGTCTTCTCAAATATATTATTTCTCACTGTTTAATTTATTTAATGATGATGAAAGTTTTCCTGACAATTAAAATAGAAAATGGAGAACTAGCGGCATACTGTGAAAGGTATCTCCACCTATTCAGTGCACTGTACAATAAAAGGGAAAAAAATCATATACAACTGTTCAGTATGCTGTATAGTAAAAGGCAATAAAATCAGCACTACAGATGAGACCACACTTAGCAATTCATATTCATTTCCCCAGAATAGTGAGGACTACACTTTGTGATTCTCATGTATGCATCAGGTACATCTTCAAACTGCACTGTCTTCTCAGTTACAGACTCATGGTGCTTGAACTTATATACTTGTAGGTCTCACAATTTTAGCAAGTCTGAGGCCAACAAATATACAAATGTAAACATCTGAAAAAATTTAAATGTCAGCCCTAATTCAGAAGATACTGGATATTCATTATTTAATCATTTCTTGTGTAACTACTTATTGTCTGTTAATTGCATTAATCACAAATTCTAAGAATGCACTGAGTTTTCAGAAGACTTTTCATGGTTTTGCTAATTTGGTCTTTATCACAATTCCGTATGTTTTACATATGGGCAAACTGAGATCCCTAAATGTTAAGTAGTTTTATAAAAGTCACAGCTATTTTGAGAACAGAAAAATAATCATATTTATCGATTTCATCCTCTCAATAGAAATACCAGAGGTCAACTTGTAGTTCAGGAGATACAGCTGAAATCAAAACATCTCTTTGTCAAATGAACAAGTATTTGAGGCTCTCTTTGCTCCATTTATACCTAATGACTTAGCTATATATGTGTAACAGTCAACCTCATACCTGCAATATATGAATATAACATGATGAAAGTCCTGAGTGCAATAACTGCTGTGGAAGCATATTAAAAATAAAAAATGAACAGGTATCCTAGCAGGGAAAACTGAAAAAGCATGTCAGTCCTCAAGTAGCTGTTATTTTGAACATCTGCCACATACTTAAGACAATAGGAGTGAAAGAAAGGAAGACATGGTTTTGGTCCTGGTTCTCAGAAAAAAATTTCAGTATCCTTGTGGATATGTTACTTTAATTTTCAGACTTACTATTTTATACTCTGGTTTTTTAATATTTTTCCCATAACAAATATACTACTTCAATTTACTCTTATGCAATAAACTTAGAAAAAGTGGTACTTTAGAAATTGAAATAACACCTAAAGTTCATACGAAATTGTGCTTTAAATTATACTAGATTAAAATTAGTTCAGCAAATATCCAATGTGGTCAGATTTACTAATGAAATTCTTCCACCAAACAAATATATTTGTATTTTACTTAATTCAGCATGATTCAAACTGCATAAAATACCCTGTAATTAGCAACTCAGCACAAAAGAAATGCACACTTCTATCTCAGTAACCTCAGGTTAATCTTCTTAATTAAAATGTTATCTTGTTTAATGACAATTTAGTTACCAGTAAAGTAAGGTTAATTATTATTGAGGCTTGCGTTTCAGAATCATAGAGGAAGGAATTCTGTGGATTTGCAGTCTTTGTAGGAAATGTGACTATAAAAAGTAAATAGATGAACTCCTGTAATTTGCAAACCCTTGAAATGATTCAAATATTAAAAAGCACAAAAAAATTGCTACATGTGCTTAATTTCACAATCCCATGTAAAAATAAAAAAGTAACTGAATTTATGAAATGTTGAACTGCTGAATTTTGGAGATAGCCTGATGTTTTTGATGAGTTCACTTTTTGGAAAGTGAGAAAGGGGAGAGAGAGAGAGAGAGACAGATAGAACAGTATTTTATCAAAATTTGCATTCTACAAATCTAGTTTAAACACAGAGATGTAAGCCCAGAGATGCTGTTTCTGAGTCTAAATGCAGGTCTCAGGAAGGGACCGTGATTTGTGTTCTAAGATTCCAGGTGGTACTAATTGATTCTACTGGTTCAAGAACATTTTGAATGATAATGCTAAATAATATGTCCTGCTCCAAAATTAAACATACATGATCTGGCTACTAAAATAGTTAAACTAAAAATTAAATGAGCAATGCTAATATTTTTAGGAAAGAATATGACAGCTAAATTAAAACAAGAATGACATGAAAGAGAAATCCTAAGAGCGATAGAAGTCCAAATTGTCCAACACAGTTGTGACCAGGCACAGGAGGGTTTGGGGCAAGAAAAAGCTTAATGAAATCTGACATCAGTGTTCAATATTGTAGGAAGCCCCTTATTATGTGAATCATACCTATAATTTCTCTTAATAATTACTGAATTTCTGTATTGAAAGCTTTTCCTGATCCCTTTCTTTGGCTCACAAATTATAACCTATGTGCAAAAGGTTCCCACAGATATGCTAATCTCTTTTGATTAGCTAAAAAAACAGTTCCTTGTGGCTGTAGGAAATGAACCCATTGCCTCTTACTTACTAGGTAAGAGCTCTACCACTTGAGCCAAGACCCTCGTTGTTTGCTTTTAGCTTGTTTTTCAGATAGTGTCTAATATTAACGTTGCCCAGGACAGCCATGAACTGCAATCTTTATACCTCTGCCTCCCAAGTAGCTGGAATTACAAGCATGTACCATCACACCATCAACAAAACAGTCCTTGAGAGTCCTGACTAATTGTTGTTGAATCCATTATGTTACTCCTAGACCTGACTTAATTCTGACCTTTTCACTGCCGATTCCTAGATCATGAATCTCTCTTTGCCCTCTTTAAATCAGTTTTAACATTGTCTTTAGTTTTTAATTCAACACACTTTTAATTTCCTTCTCTTCCTCTTTATTTCTCATATAGTCTTCTCTTCAAGCTTTCATCATATCACCAGTATAATTATGTATTATTTAAAAACACATTGAGCCATATCAACTGAGTTGATATAGCATTCGGTCATGTGGACATTCTTTCATTCAAACTTCCTTGCTTCTCATTTTTTATTTGATAATACTTAGAGCCATCAAATTACATGACTTTACCAATACATTTGTATTCTTTATGCCATTTTCCCTCAGAGAGAGAAATTTGCCCACTTCTCAAGGTCATTTAAACAAATGAGTCACCACATTTAGTAACCAGTAAATTTAAAAGAAAAGCCAGGCAGATTATGCAGTGGAATACATTAGACATTGTGGAATTTTAAGTATGTAACACATGCTATGTGTTGTTAACATTTCTATAATCTTACATATGGATAGGATTGATTTCCTTCCTTCCCTCCCTCCCTCCCCCTTCCACTCTTCCTCCCTCCCTCCTTCTCTCTTTTCTTCCCTCCTTCCTTCCTTCTTTTCTTCCTTTCTTCCCTCCTTCCCTCCTTCCTTCCTTCTTTTCTTCCTTTCTTCCCTCCTTCCTTCCTTCCTTCTTTTCTTCCTTTCTTCCTTCCTTCCTTCCTTCTTTCCTTCTTCCATGCCTTTCTTTTTTTCTTGTTCCTTTCTTTTTTTTAATTAGTCAGAACTTCCCACTGTAGTTCACATGCTGTAATGGGAGTAGCATTCTTATCTACTAGTTGTTTTGCACAGCCAATCCTTCTGGTGACATTCTAGGGAAAGAAGGCAGTAGCACTGCCAAATGAATAAAGTCATCATGGTTTCCTATCACCTTTAATTGTCTGACTAAAATGCTTGAGAGCAGTAATTTGCAAAAACAATTGAAAGCATTCAAGTTGTTGAATTTAAAATCATTTCTACTTCAGAGAAATTAAACTTTTTTCCCCTGTAACACAAAAAAAGTAAACGAGTCAAAATGCCTTTTCTTTTTTTCTCAATATAGTCTAATGCTTAATATGCTTGCATTACAACTTTCATTTTCTCAAAGGCAGGTCAAGTGAACCCAACAATAAAATTGTATGTTGTAAACCTATACGGACCAACTCATACTTTGGAACTCATGCCACCTGACAGCTTTAAATCCAGGTATGCAATTTCAATTTCACTTTTATGGGGAAATAGATATTTTCAATCCAATTATCACTTTGTTGCAATTTAGAGAGCGATGTGATCAACTCAACAATTCTACTGGAAAATAAACCTGAGGTTGCCTCTATTAGTGAGGAATGAAGCCATTGGTGTCTGGATGTTCCCAAGAATTATTTAGTTTGAAGGTGACTAGCAGCACCAGAAAATGACTAAAGATACTCGTACTAAGAATTGGGCCATTTGCTGGCGATGCCAAAGAGCAATGAGGACAAAGGAAATTTTTTCATTGAGTTTTCTTCCAAAAAAATAGTTGTTTCTATTTTTTAATGGTGATTTTTAAAAAGATAATAATCTCCCTGAAATTGGTATAGTTTTTCCAGCTTTCTCACAACAACTTGCCAAGAATTTTTTAGCATTTTTCTCCAGGCAGAGACATTTAATGACATTTTGTTTCAAATTACCCCACATCAGAAGCCTTCATATTTAAAAGAAGTTTGAGCAGGAAGAAAATAAAGCAGATTTTATATGTATAAATTTAATATTAGCAAACTCTTTAGAACTGAACAAATAATCAAATAATCATGTGCATATTGAAATTCAAATGGTCTCAGACCTCAAAGGAAACTCTTTCAAATGTTGTGCCCTTCTGGAAATTTACCATAGTCCTGGACACAGATACAAAGATGATTTAGGAAAATGGTTTCACACTCTATTGAATGATGTGAGGCTAAGCTCAAAGTGTGCTTTGATGAAGTCTGTAATCAATGTGGGGTGACTGATTCCATTAGAAATTCTACTCAAATGTTGACAAATTTAAAATATTTTCACCCCAGTTGGGGATAGTTACACATAATGCAACCTGATACATATGGGAAAATTTCTTACTTGAAAAAGTAATAAAAAGTTATGGAATGCTTACACTGAAAAACTGTCTTTAACTACTCATGATAAACCATTGGTTTTTAAACTGATGTGAAAATAAAACCCAAAAAGAATAAATGATTGTGATACAATTTCAGCACTAGTTGTTAGTGAAGGAAGTCCTATTATATCAAGGTACAAAGCATTTTATTCACATTATAATGGAAAACCTCAAAAGTGATTCTGAATTGATATATGTAATGAAGTAGAGTTGACCGAGTAAAACAGGAAATTGCATTTCTGAGCTTGGTCTACCAGCCATGAATAACTTATTCACAAATGAAGGACTTATCAAAACTACTAACATTTTATTTGGCCCTTAACTCTTTTTTTTCTGAGTTTTTCATTCTCAGAATTAACAAGAAGGGGGTGTTAAACTAGTAGTGTTTGTCACAAGTCTACCACCATTTCACTGTTACCTTGACCTGTACCTTTCTCAGTACCTGAATCTCTTAGTCTTCAATTAATAACTTCAAAGTTCCACCTTTTGTTTTTAAATTCATGCTGTGTGCACCACTTTTTTAATATTAATGTTTCTTACTAACAGGAATTAATGATTATTGACCTTGATTTTGTTAGCTATTTAAACAAATATAAAAATATATCAATTGGTTTCCTAGCATATATTCTTTCCTCATGTCCTAATAAATCCAACAAATGTCCATCTTCTCTTTGCTTTTTGTTTTGTTTTGGGGGGAATGTTTTGTGCTCATAACAGTGCTGTGATCATTGGAGAAGTATACATTTGAGTACTACCTTAACTTTTAGTTACAGGAAGCTTAAATAATTTCTTTCATAATAATTCACATGATTTTTATGTTATCTAAGAAACTACTGAATTTTATAATTTTCAGATTATCTGTATACTGGCAATCAATGTATAAACCACATTCTATTACTGGATGAAGTTAATATCTTTCCTTTTCCTTTGAGATTCATTTTTTTTCATCATACTTAGAACTAAAATATGACCATCTCTTAGCTTTCTTCTCTCTAATAAAATTACTGCCAAGACAAGAATAATAATTGGATAAATAAGACATGCCTATATTGGAAGAAAGATTAAATATAGAAAGATGTACTTTTATGACTTGAGCTACGTCATAAACTGTATTTCCTGATTTCCCATCCCAAATAACAAAATTTATTTTGACTTTAAAATATTAGGTCATTTATTTTTGTCTGCTGGCTTATTTGGGATATTGGTTTGTTTATTTATTTAAAACAGTTAGTGATATTAGCAATAATAAAAAAGGTCCCCAATCTAGAACATCACTTAATTATTTACACTCTAGTCAAACAGTATAAAATAAATAGATTTAAATCTATTTTTGTTATTTAAAAAAGGAAATTAAAAGGGTAAGAAAGCCTGGTAAAAGCGAGATTCTTTTCCTAATTACAACATTCATTTGCTCCCTATTTTTTCTTCCTTCCTTCCTTCCTTCCTTTCCTTCCTTCCTTCTTTCTTCCTTTCTTTCTTTTTTATTCCCTTCCTCCCTCCCCCTTCTTCTTTCCTTCCTTTTCTTCCTTCTTTCTTTTCTTTCCTTCCTTTCCTTCCTTTCCTTCCTTCCTTCCTTCCTTCCTTCTTTCTTTCCTCTTCCTTCCTTCCTTTCTCCTCTTCTTTCTTCATGCCTGATGCAGACTATGAATGAAGCTTTACTTCAGTAGCAACTCAGTTCAAACTCATGTTATCACCATTTATTTCATCTTTATTTGTATCATGGTCTGTGTTGATCCTGAAAAAGATGGTACATGGTAGGAATGAAGGTAATTGTCCTTCTTTAATTTCCCCAGAACCAGAAAGAGTGAGGAATGGATGAGTTATTCATCTCGAGGGAAAATATGTTTCTCAAATTGTACTTGAGTTTAAGGTATGGCAATCACTCAGTGCCTTTATTAGAAAACTTAGGTATAAATTTAAAAATATGTAGGTAATTCTAGTGAAAGGACTTTTGTGATCATGAATCCTGTACACTTTTTCATAAACTAGATAAATGTCACACTCTTTTGGGAAAATGATGCATCATCCTTTGTGTTCAGATAGCTCTACTCCAAAGAATAACAGTAATGATTTATCTTTGGTTCTACCCTTACTTTTTGTCTTTAGCATCTTTTCACTCATTTGAGGTCTTTCTCTGGTCACCTGCCTTTTGTGACCCATTGTTCTGTACCTGCATCCTGATGTAACATCATATTGCTCCTCTCACTTTGGGCATGTCATGCTTTTTCTTCTTATTCCTTTGAAGTCTATGTAGCCTACATGTAATTCTTACAAGGAATATCTGTGCCTTTCAAGAAAATCCAATTAATAGATTCATCTGAGTTCACTGAAGTTTCCTAAATGACCCTTCTTAATAAGTAATGCATAGTTGTTAACAGAGGACTTTGGAGACCATTAGTTATGAGTCAGTAGGAATGTTGTCACAGTACACTTATGGGCAGAATTCCTGGGCAATCAAGAAGAGAATGACCTCAGAGTAACACTATATGCACAAAGACTATGTTGTGAACACAACAGTGATTAGACAGTAAGCCAATGAAAATATAGGTGTGACTGCTAATGTAGTTGTCTGCAGATGATGCTGGGCTCTCCATTCCACATATCCTGTGGACAACTAGATCTCCTGTGCCAGACCATCCAGCTGATAGAAAGTCTTTGCTGACTTAAGTGCAATTCCCCTGACCTGCTTGTCTCTGCTTGTGTGGCTCAAGAGGACCAGATCCTTGAGGACTTCCTGGGTAATCCAGAGCACTGGAGACTAGGAACAAGCAGGAAAGTCAGTTATAAGAAAGGGACACTTCTGCTAGCCACTGGTACTGGAACACCAGATCTAATGTGTTCATGAGATGGAGTTGCAGGAGGGTACCACATCTGCAGCAGGCAGGCCATGGAGTGTGATATAGCCAGGTAAGGGCACTATTAGACCTACTTCCTCATGCAGAGAAAGCTGGAATGCTTATGAGCAGACAAATATGGCAGTATGAATCATAGGGAGGTGTGTACCTTGGATAATGGGGCAAAGAAAGAAGAACACAGGAAGTATTTACTTAGTACATGTGTCTTTCTTCTTTGCCTATGTGTCAAGCTCTACGTTAACATCCATTTTAGGTATTTATATCACTTTAACATAGAAATTTCAAGGCTTGGAAATTGCCCCTTGTAAGACTTTACAAATCCAATTTTGGAAATAACTCTCACTTTTGATATTATAGTTACTATGTAAAGGTCATGCCTGGATATAAACAATGTATGTACTAAAATAGCTTATATCTGATTAAGTTTTACTTATTTGCATAAAGTAAATTTATATACAAACTCACAAAATAGAAGTGTATTATTACAAAATGTTTTTTAATTTAGTAATTATGCATCTAAGTTAGTGTCCCATTTAAATGTCAGTTATTCATAAGATATGTAAGTTAGCTTTTCATTGTTTTCCAAAATTCAAGCCCTTTTTGAAAGTCACAATTTGTCTTCACAGACAAACATAACTTTTCAATGTTTGTTAAAGTGTTGCAAAGGTTTTCTAGCAATATTTCCCTTGAGGCTACTTGGGTAGGGAAAGTAAGGTGAATATTTAAATTCTGTTTTGTTATTATTTATTTTTAAGATTATCCTTATTGATTTGTCATCTCATTTTGTACAAAATATACCACTCACTTTGCTATTAGAGACATTTATGAGTGAGTTTGCAAATCAACTATGTATCGATTCTATCTAGATTTTAAAAAAGCAATAACCTCTTTGATTTTTCAATCTTTGAAATGTTTATAATATTTATGTTAATTTTTACTTCAATTTTGAGCAACATTCATACTTATGATTCAGTAACATATATTAGAATTCAATACTCTTTTCCTAATTGTGCACAGTGTCTACTTTACTTTTTATCCACTTTAGATAATATACTAAAGGTTGATACTTATATTTTCTTTTTTTTAATATTACACTGCTAAATATGATAATGTATCCAAAATAAATTAGTGTAAACAAAACATCACAAATGAACAGAACATTGGTCCTTAGAGGTCCACAAAGCCCAGTGATTTACCAAAGATTTTACCTAAAACAGCCA